AAAAAAATTAAAAAATATAGCCCATCATAGGAAAGAAAATAGAGTTCAGGTTTCGTATCATCGTGATCACAATCACCACCAAAATGGAACACTTACCTCTGCTAACATTCTAGCTACCTATCACAAGACATAGCTCGTGGTTAAATCTTACCGAAACTGATAAAGAACTTACCGGCAATGGTCTCATGCCAGAGTTCCTCTAGCTCAAGAGATAAAAAGGGCATTGCAGTACTTCTTTGAGGGATTCCGTAAGAACCGCCGTGTCTGTTGGTGACTTATGACGTCCAAAGGACCACTTCAGTCAATGAATCGGACCATGACTACCACGTGATGAGCTCCCCCACATGATTATTGATGCCTTCACAGCGCTGTCCCAATCTGCGATCAGCTGCACTTCATCAAACTCCGAGCCCTTCCATCCAACTCACGAATCAAGGAACCCAGAAGAAAAGCTCTACTGATTCTCATCGCATACCCCACATAATTATCGAATAACCTGTTATTTATTTATTTTTTATTTACTTATTTATTCACTACTGGGCTGATTTCTGCATAAATAATCAAGAAAATCACAAGTATATCTAGATGAATTCATAGGATCCCGAAAAATCCCATTAAGTAACCGAAAAATGATACCAAAATAGAAAGTCAAGAATGGAGTGAGAACCCTACTACCAGTCATGATTGTGGTAATCACTTCGCCGGATCTGAGTTTAAGACTCCCACATGAGATCTTCGGTTAACACCACAGAACAATTATCATCAAAACCTCACATGTTTTGTAAAATTAAAGAGTTCAACAGCCTGAAAAACTTAGAGGAAGTAGGAGTGAAGTACCTTCTTGCTTGGCTTTCTTTACCTCCGCCATAGCTGCACTGGCAGCAGACTTCAATTCATCGGTTTTGTTCTTACGCAATTCCAATATAGATGTTCTCTACAAAAAAAACTTGATAGTAATAAAATGGCAATTTTAGAAAGGCTTTTCAATTTACAAAACCTCTTACTTCTCATTCTGCTCACCTTCTATGTAAAATTCACCTATTCGAATATCGTGAGCGGTGCTTAAGCCTTACTTGAAGCAACGGATTATCTTTTGCTATATAATTCCAACTTGACCGTTAGGTAATATGTCCTGTTCTCCCAATTGGTAATAAAAATCGAAAATTCGACTAGCTTGATTAGCATCGGTTCATGATAGGTGTACCTTTCAGATCACCATCTATGAAAGTGGGCCCGTTCAATTGCTACAGCGCTAACTAAGGACAAAATCTTAGATTTGGGAGAGAACGAACGTCGTACCAATGGTATTCGTACTTATCCTTAACTAGTACTACCCTGCCGCGCCCACGAATCAATTATGTCAAATCAGTCAATCAGTACCGCCGATACCAGTAAAGTGATTTGACACGGGCGCGGCGATTGACATTTCTACAGGGAGTTTGATATCCTGTAGATAGTTTTCAATGCAGTTTATTTATATGAACTTATTGCAGCTATTTATAGAAGTATCTAAATGCGCTGATAAGATAGGCCTTCCATGCAGGTAACCCCGCCTACTAAGGTTGCTCCACCCCCTGGTGGACGTGCATCCCCTGGTGGACGTGCATCAGCAAAAAAGCTTGCGATCAATAGTATATTGCAACAAACAAATCGATATCATCAAAGCAAGTGAAATGAGTAACAACCAACGTTGATATCATTATGATGCGGTACTAACAGGCAAAAAAGTATCCGAATGCCTAATTATTCGCATCCTTTCTGCACGTTCACTTATTCCAACTATGGAAAAAGAGCAGAATTTCGGCCGGAATCTTACTTCTTCTATGACGGCCGCTCTGAAACCTACACGCTCATTTGCAATCATGTAGGCTATCGTGAAGTAGCTCTTTGAAGTCTCTCGAATATCCCATCAACTAACATATTTGAACAAAGCGTCATATTAGCATTGGACGCAGATGGCTTCGTTACATATGAAGCTCATATCGACAACGGATGGGTTATACAATTAGTGCGGGCGGCTTTGACGAGCTTCTCATAGAACAACAAGAAAAATTCCTCGGGAAAGTATTCTTTTTTGACAGCTCTATGATGGAAAATATGAATGATAGACTGGGTAGATTTAATTACCTCAAGGACAACAAACTCACACCTGCTGATCCACCTCTATACAATAACAGAAGTCCAAACAAGCCCGTTTAAGGGTTAGAATTAATTTGAATGAAAAAGCAGCAATTTAAAAGTTCTATTCCACAGTCCCTGATCCAACATATTGATAGTACTTGACTACGTTTAATTCATGACGTCTTGCAGAGATTCAAAGCCCCATTCAATCATTCTACTGTTTCTGGAGAACCTGATAATCATAAGCAGGTAGGGACGTCCGATTTAGACAGAGTTTGGTACGGAATTCGATACAAAGACCTGTTGTAACGGCACAACCTGGCTCTATTTCATTTCCGCCTATACACCTGAGAGATTATATAAAAAGCCTTGTGAGGCCGGCATTCAAGTTTTATATTTTGTTCAAAATTCTGGAAATAAATTTTATGAAACTCACGCTTTTCTTGTGACGTTGCAAAGATTCGACAAGTTTTTCGTTCAGTTCAGCTGCTGCTAATGCTTGTAAAGACACCTGTTCCAACTCCTTCAACGTCTCCCTGATCATCTCTTCGTCGTTCTCTGAAGCATCATCAGCTTCAGAAAAGTCGCAACTGGCAGCCACAGTGATGCAGATGATTACCGTCCCCTTCCTCTGCTTTTTCGCCCT